CCGAATTGCCTTATAGAAATCTCTTATGGATTGTCCAAAAGAAATAAATAGATATCTGAATCTATCATCGTAATCGGTTTCATATTTGGAATACGTACCAGAATTAACTTCTTGTAGCATATGCAAGTATTTTGGTATCTTAGCAAAGCTTTTCTCAGGTATTCCTCCGACCTCGTTGACTGCATATTCACGAGACTCCTAAGCTTGGCTATAAGTCAACTCGACTCCATAGTTTGTGCGCATGATATTTATTATATCATTCGGTTTAGGTCCTTCCTTCACACCCTCGTATTTGTGCAGAATGAGATGTCCAATTGTTCTTGCTGAAGGCGTCCTAGAGAATTTGCTTTTCTTTGATGGAGCACATGTATGTTTACCCAATCACTTATTGATTTTGAAATAAGTAGACCCTCCTTCTAAACACTCAGCGAGAACAGACCATTTGCAAATAGCATCTACGCAACGTATACACCAAAGTTTCCGATCTGATTTTGTAATCCTGTAGTCGAAATTATACTTCATCGTACAAATTTCTAGAGTTGCTTGTAAAGTTTCCTTGCTTGTGAAGAGCTGCCCTTTTTTCACCCACGAATGTACTGGTGCTGCTTCGACATCATCACTAACTTTAGCATCTGAATCATCTTCGCATAACTCAGCTTTCGGTTTATCCTCATTCATTAAAACTACTGATTTTTCACGCACCTTAAAATCCTTGTCCGCTTTACTTGAATCAGGTGACGGGTCATTCAAATCAAGTTTGAATCCGTTCTTTTCATCTCCAATCCTATGTTTAAACGTCACGCACAACCGTATCGTACTTTTCTTTTAAAAATATGCAACAAAATTTTGAAGTTGTCGTTGGTTCATCATCACAACAGGAGCAGAATCAACACTTAGATCAGTTGGTAGATAACTGAATTCCACATCAGTTATACTTTGTTCAATCTCGTAGTCTTCTGAAACCAATAGCTTGAGCTCTTCAAGAGTTGTACTGGATTGCAAGGTAAGTAGTCTCGCACGTTTTTCTTCATCAACCATAAATCTCCACTCTTTAT